TGCTGTGCACATACGTGACATGGTGCATGTGCTAGACCGCTTCAGCAGGGTATGTTCATGGTTCATGGTGTTTAGGTGTATATCTACCTGTAGTATGTTCGCAGATCAGCTAACCCTGCACTGCATGCAATCAATCATGCAGGCTGATCAGCTAACCCTGCACTGCATGCAATCAATCATGCAGGCTGATCAGCTAACCCTGCACTGCATGCAATCAATCATGCAGGCTGATCAGCTAACCCTGCACTGCATGCAATCAATCATGCAGGCTGATCAGCTAACCCTGCACTGCATGCAATCAATCATGCAGGCTGATCAGCTAACCCTGCACTGCATGCAATCAATCATGCAGGCTAATCAGCTAACCCTGCACTGCATGCAATCAATCATGCAGGCTAATCAGCTAACCCTGCACTGCATGCAATCAATCATGCAGGCTAATCACAGGTGTCAAATGTCACACCAGCATTATCAAACCGTGTACCTGGCCAGCTTTCACAGTACAGTCTTTGTGGAGAAACTCTGTTTATGTGCGTATACATGTCATTGGTTGTACTGTACTTGTACTCAGTAGATGCGGTACTACTGTATGCCATTCACTTCCACACTAGCAAAACATTCATGTACATGTACATGTGCATACTATGGCATGCATGGACATGTACAGTAGTAGATCTACATGAACACGGAAAATGTGCGATAAGACTTTCAAATAGTGGGGGGAGGTGGGGGGAGGGGTAAAGTCTATTCGAAATGCGTTACGTTTACAAAAAAAGTGCGAACTTATGAGATGCTCCCTTATACACATGCCTTATAGTATGCTATACTTCGCTATGGGCAGTGTGGATCCAAGAGTCGGTATTTGCCGTTAAACTTTGACTTCCGACGACTTCTGATGTCCTCGCTTTCAATCCCTATTCTCTGGGAGTGTAGTAATTGCCGTTCGAGTGCTGACGGGACTATTATTTTTCTTTCACTTTCACCTGGCTTTTTTAAAGTGTTGAATTTCAGAGAAAATGAAAATGGAGCAGGTGGCCAAAATTTCCTTTGCATTTGAAAATTTTCCGTGAAGTCCGAAATATGAACATGTATAAAACTTCACTCCTCGACTCCAATGACCGTCTCTATACTGCAACTCAAATCAATTAGAGGATATGCCAAATAACGCGCAACTAGACTTAAGAGGGCATCGCACACAAGTTGCATACACATTCTACTACAATGTGTACACGGTAGACCCTGAGCTCTGCAGGAATACAAGTCACAGGTACCCGTACAACTTTTGAACTTTGTATGCAACTACTCTGCAATGCCCTCCCAAGTCTAGTTGCACGTTATTTGGCATATCAGAGAGGTTCTGCTACACGGACCTACGTACCAAACTCCGTGTCAACTGCAGCGAAGTTTGACACGGATTTTTCGTACGTTGCACCGGTTCTGCTGTACGTAGCATGCTCATAGCATACACGAACACCCCGCCACATGTACTCTGTACGCTCAGTTTTCACACGGAGTCCAGTCCGTGTGAAGCGCGCTTCACACGGAAAACGGTATGAAAAAATCCGCATGAAACTTGATCCCGTACCGCGGCGAAGTTTCCATACGTAATTTGGCACGTTTTACCGTGTGGCAGAACCTCACTATCATCTATTAGAGGATGTCTTTGATGATACAGTATGGGACATGTACGGGATAGTGGGCATGGCCGACGACAGAAACACACACACATACACACACACACACACACACACACACACACACACACACACACACACACACATACACACACTTTCTGACCTTTTGGCGCCCATCGCCGGAGGCGATGTGTGAACTGGTGTTCTACCTCTGCCGATCATGACCGGAGAGCGGCTAAGCAGGCCTCCGCAATCTTTTTTCTTTTCAATTATTATTTTTGGCATTAAATAAGGCCCGTTGTCCTTTCCTGTTCTCCGCTCTGGTGCTGTGGTAGCAAAATGCGGAAAAGCGGCTGTTGAGCTGGTGGATCCCGCACACAAGAACCAGTACACAACTATCCTGAGATCGTTTCACGAGATGAAGAAAGGATACATCAGAGGCACGGGCAAAGGGGAGAACAACCTCTTCTGCATCCTGTTGTATCTCATGCAACGTCCGGCCACGACTGTCCAACAGCTGTTTAACCTGCTGGCTGCTAGTGCCAAGCATAATCGCCGCCGTCTCTTCAGCACAATCAAGTGAGTTGCATGCGGAGTGTGTGCAGTGTGTTGTGCGTGTACCTGCTATTGATGCAGTGTGTTGTGCTTGTACCTGCTATTGATGCAGTGTATTGTGCTTGTACCTGCTATTGATGCAGTGCTAGTAGGGAGTTCAGTTCCGGTCGCTGAAAATCGAAAAATGCAGTCACAGCTCGCCGCGTACAAAGTGAATGGGCGCGTCGTGGCAGCAGTTCGGGATGCACTTTGAGGTACAAGTATCTTCTCACGCGGCCTTTTCGGCCTTGTCGATGCTATGTTTAGGTAGCTGAGGTCATTACCTTTCCAATGGTGCCACACGTGCCATGCTTCCAAAAATTATGCCTCCGCGCATCGCGCCGATACACTTCGAAGTACTAATTTCGACCAGGTGCATACTCGGCCCCGCGAGGAACACCCGATTTTCGTGTTCAGCGGCCTCGGATTTGTCTAAAACAAGTGTATTCTAGAACATTTAGGCTCGCGCTTTATCGCGGTAGCAGGGAAATGATCCCAGAAACCAGCCCACGGCGATATCCTGGGCGTGGACGAATAAAATCGAGTGAACTGCTCGCACACCGTAGTAGAGGTGACGGTGAACACGTGTGACTTATGCGCGTAGGCGCGCACGGCATGCATGCACACTGTGTGCATGCACACATCCTGTATCGCCATGCACTTCTGCATGTACTCACCGGGTAGTGCAGTTCTGGACGGAAACCGGTAGCTTCATGAAAATGCAGTAGAAGGTATCGCCGAGTAGTGGCCATCACCGAGCGACCCTCGCTCTCTCATGAGCTACATTGTACTGAAGAAACATGCAATTTACACTTTAATGTGACCACTGGTGTACGTTTCAATGTAGTCACTGCCATGAAAGACCACCTGTGTTTAGAGACCCTGAATCAGTTCAGGTATCAGAAATTTATGTTACCATGGTTTCAGCACACCTGTGCACACAGACCACCTGTGCATACAGACCACCTGTGTATGAAGACCTCCTGTGTGTTTAGACTACTTGTGTATGAGGACCACCTGTGTGCTAAGACCACCTGTGTGCTAAGACCACCTGTTTTTAAAGGTCCCCTGTTGAATAAAGATCATCCGTGTGCTAAGGCCACCTGTGTATAGAGACCACCTGCGTGGTGCGACCGCTTGGGTATAGAGATCACCTGCGTATAAAGTACACCTGTGTGTAAAACCACTTGTGTATAAAAATCCAAGTGGTAAGAATCACCTGTAATATAATGACCCATACACAGGTGGTCTTTACACGGGTGATCTTTACACAGGTGATCTGTATACAGTATTATACAGATCATCTGTGTATAGGTAGATCGGTGTTCTCTGCACCTGGAGGGGGGGGGGGTCATTGTTCACTCAACCACAGGTCTTCCTCTGGTCAAGCTAAGTTACTGGGTGTACAGTAGGGTGCCGATTATCCACACCACTTGGGGTACGGGGTTGTCTCCGTGGGGGGGGGGGGGGGGGGTTCGGATGAGAAGAATGTTCGGATAAGGGAGCAGTCATACATCTATCTAAAACATGCATATTCCCGCATGTTTTCATCATTTTTCATTCTCTTCGGCAGTACAACAGGAACTCCAGCTCCTAAAAATGACACTATCGGGATACCTTTTGACTCCAACCTGTTGTAACTCATCTTGTGCCTCACTTGAATGGTGCTAACAGTGGGGAAAAATAGCCGCGGCGAAAACCCCGAAAAGCAGCTACTTTTTATTATCCAGCCCCAGCAAGTGATCCGGATAATCGATCATCCGGGTAGTTGACCGGTCCGAATAATCGATTATCCGGATAGTTGACTGGTCCGGATCATCGATTATCCGGATAGTTGACCAGTCCGGATAATCGATTATCCGGATAGTTGACTGGTCCGGATCATCGATTATCCGGATAGTTGACCAGTCCGGATAATCGATTATCCGGATAGTTGACGTCCAGATAATCGATTATCCGGATAGTTGACGTCCAGATAATCGATTATCCGGATAGTTGACCGGTCCGGATAATCGATTATCCGGATAGTTGACGTCCAGATAATCGATTATCCGGATAGTTGACTGGTCCGGATAATCGATTATCCGGATAGTTGACGTCCAGATAATCGATTATCCGGATAGTTGACTGGTCCGGATAATCGATTATCCGGATAGTTGACTGGTCCGGATAATTGATTATCCGGATAGTTGACGTCCGGATAATCGGCGTTCTACTGTAAGCTACTTGCGAATCTTCAGACGTGATGATTGGCCTAACGAGAGAGCTTGGAAGCTCAGGGCCCGACGCTATGCTTTTTTGCCTTGATGACCTAGACAAAAAAAGCATAGGGATGGTATAAATTCTTTAAAAAATTCCTTTTTTTTAAAGATATAACCTGGGATTCGAACCCGCACTATCGCGCCCTGCATGCATCCCCCGGTCTTTAAAAAATTCCTTTTTTTAAGACATAACCTGGGATTCGAACCCGCACTATCGCGCCCTGCATGGATCCCCGATACACTTCGCATACATACTAATTCTTCCAAGTTGCTTCACATTATGATCTTGCATTTGAAAGCCCTATTTGAATATGCATTGTGGCCAGCCGTCTTTGATGGTACGGTACGGTAGAGTTAGGTACGGGACAGGTACGATCGAGGGTAATACGACACCGTCTCCCGTACCGTACCATCAAACACAGCTGGCCACATACAGCTGCCCGCAATATTCAAATAGGGCTTTCAAACGCAAGATCATAACGTGAAGCAACTTGGAAGAATGGGTATGAATGCGAAGTGTATGGGGGAATGCATGTAGGGCGATAGTGCGGGTTCGAATCCCAGGATATGCCTGAAAAAATAGGAGAATTGAAAATTTTATAACATCCCTATGATTTTTTTGCCGTCAGATACGGGATAGCGCCAGGCGTGACACAAACAAACACACAAACACCAAATTAAAGCTGTGTGGACCCTGGCTAGCGCCAGACGTTACTGAAGTAACGTCTTCTGCATAGCTACGGGAATAAGTTATAACTTAGCCAGGAAACTCTAGAGCTGGAACAAAAGTGAGCCCAGTTCTATTTTACAAACACCAGTGTGTCTTGCTGTGCTCCTCTGTGTTTCATCTGGGTCTCTTCGCGGCACCCATTCTGCACTGTCCCGGCATGACAATGAGAAGTTCTCTCTACCGGTGTTTGGCCTGTGTTGTTTTTTTGCCAGGAATGCCAAGTACTTGAAATGATACGCCGTTGAGGAGATGCAACCTGGTCCAGATATGGCAGGGGAAGGCCAAGCGTCTGCTCTCAGATCCCCCGGCACCTCACTCAGTGCCTCGGCTGGGTCGGATTTAGCTGCAAGCAGCCTGGCCTCCCTCCGGGTAGCTCAGAGTGGAGCTTGATGTCTTCTTGTGACAAGAGCAATCTTCACTAGGCATCATGGGTGCTGTGTGTTTCCACTGCGAGTGAGCCTGTGTTGCTGTGATCTGCCGCCCATGCTCTATTCCTTGATCATGAATTGACAGTCATGTCAGGGCTGTTTTTAATGGCTTTTATTGAAGTTTTTTTTTAAAGTACACTAGCAATTTTATTAAGGCACTAGCCTGAGTTAGCCTTTACTGAAACTTGACTAACGATATTGAGATCACCATGCCCGTCTGCCGGTGCATTGAGCCAATCCACATTGATTGAATTCATAGAAGCCCAGTCTATATTTTAATTCTGGAGATTTGATTTATGTATTCGCATTCAAGACTGGAGATCTCACCAGAACTTAGTACTGGAGTAGAAGGTGGTTAAAGGGGAAGTATACCCTAACATCAAATGTTCACCAGCTGTAGTCTTGGCGGGGTGCTGAGTCAAAAATCGACTCAAAATTGTCTTGGTCCGAGGAAGCTGAGATGCTCCCTTCCTCCTTTATTCCATATCGAACTCGCCACTTCCACCGTCACGGGCCAAAACTGGGTGCCTGCGCCCTACTAGATGGGGATTTAGTATGCAAAATGTCACTAAAGCCAGTAAAAGCGCCATTTCGCTTTTATAAAAGCACGGATGACCGCGATTGGCCCATATATTGTAGTCTTTTGGACGCTGAGTCGACTGGTTTTGGTTCGCCGAGAAGGCTGCGATACCACGTTCGGCCCGGATTCCCAATTGATCATGGTTGAACAAGCGGTCACGTGCTCCTGCGTACCACCAGTCACCTGGGCCTGGTCAGTAGTCACCAGGGAGTCGTAAAATACCGGTATTTTACGACTCCCTGGTAGTCACTGTACAATGCAGCAAGAGTACAAGACAGAGTTAGTCATAACGGTTATTATGTACAGTCTTGAATGCAGGGTACCGCACTACCGGTATATCAGTAGATCCACAACTAAGTTACTTACACTAGTTACAGCCTGTTTGGGCGCATTCCCGTCAGAACGCTCCGTCCCTATCAACGACACGTGTTCGCCGCCCGGTTGTAGTTTCCCAAGCGAGCCTGCAGACTCACCTCCTGAAATCATTCGCATAGCCCTTGTCACTTGTTATAACAAGTGCTAACGCATCTGTCGGTAAACGAGATGGAGAAATAAAAACGAGAAATACATGACATACACACCCTCTCCATTATTTCTGTTATTGCATGCGCATGGTCACCTATCTGTATGCGCATGTTTACACAGACGTCTCAAACCGGGTTCGCGATAGCGTTTCTTCAAATGAAAAAAATTGGTGGTTAAAACTTTGGACTTTGTGACTCGTTAGACTTTCCAGTTTTACAGTACGCCGTGTACATTGTTGCGACTGTATGGCTGTGTAATATCATCAGCCACAAGGACTGCATGGCTGTGTAATATCATCAGCCACAAGGACTGTACGTACATGTCAGGCAAAGGACATTGAAATCCGATGGGATTCCCGGAGTCGGCGCCCTCGCTGCTTTTACTGCATACTGTATTTCCCCGAATCTAAGTCACACCTTTTTAGTCACACCTTTTTAGTCACACCTTTTTTACACTAAAATTCAAGGGCAAAGGGGCGGGGGGGGCAACTTACAATCGAGCATGACTTACTGCTGAAGAAACGATTATGGCTCAAACCTGAAAAAGGGGGGGGGGGGACTTATAATTGAGTGCGACTTATAAACGGGAATTACGGTACATACACTGCAGCTCAAGACTTCACATACACATTGTAAAAAAAGGACCAACAGTGCTCACGGCCGCAAGGCCAGCGCCCCGTGGCCGCTTGACGTCTCAACGGATTTCAATGTCCTCTACAGTAGAAGAGAGAGAGAGAGAGAGAGAGAGCGCACGCGCGCGAGAGAACGAGAGAGACAGAAAGAAAGAGAGAGAAAGAAAGAAAGAGAGAGAAATAAGAAAGAAAGAGAGAGAGAGAGAGAGAGAGAGAGAGAGAGAGAGAGAGAGAGAGAGAGAGAGAGAGAGAGAGAGAGAGAGAGAGAGAGAGAGAGAGAGAGAGAGAGAGAGAGGGAGAGGGAGAGGGAGAGGGAGAGGGAGAGGGAGAGGGAGAGGGAGAGGGAGAGGGAGAGGGAGAGGGAGAGGGAGAGGGAGAGGGAGAGGGAGAGGGAGAGGGAGAGGGAGAGGGAGAGGGAGAGGGAGAGGGAGAGGGAGAGGGAGAGGGAGAGGGAGAGGGAGAGGGAGAGGGAGAGGGAGAGGGAGAGGGAGAGGGAGAGGGAGAGGGAGAGGGAGAGGGAGAGGGAGAGGGAGAGGGAGAGGGAGAGGGAGAGGGAGAGGGAGAGGGAGAGGGAGAGGGAGAGGGAGAGGGAGAGGGAGAGGGAGAGGGAGAGGGAGAGGGAGAGGGAGAGGGAGAGGGAGAGGGAGAGGGAGAGGGAGAGGGAGAGGGAGAGGGAGAGGGAGAGATTATCGGCAATGAACGACGACTGGCCAACAGCACCTCCCAGGTACCTCGCTCCACCAGTTCGTATTGCAATACCGGTGGAATCGAACATATGAACGGCCGCCCGCTCCAAGTCCGGCTTGACAAGGAGTGTCGTCTTTGAGGCATTGGGGAAATAACCATACTGTGGTCCAATGTCAGACAAAGCGAACCAGAACTTGTGCATGTCCATCATCCTTCCACCAGCCTCGCCGTTATCCGCGTACCAGCACTGGCCCATAGATGGGTGGTCACTTGACAGGCGTTTGATCATAGGGCTAATGGCCAGCGCAATCAGTGCCATGGCCAAAGGATCGCCCTGGCAAGTACCCTCTGAGTCTCGAGGCAAGATCCTGTCACCACCCGGTAGAAACAACGATTATTGGAGCGCCATATGTGTTGTGGAAGATTGTGGATATGGCAGGACACACACGAGGAACGTTATGAAGCGCTGCCTGTCTGTTACCGTACTTCCGCACATATAAGCGCATGTGCTTATCCCCGTTGAACTTTTGCCACTACAGTACAACGCCCTCTACAAAAAAATTCCCCTGTTATTTGCACAGAACCATTATACATTAGCAGCATATGTGAGCATAATGCGGCATAATATGATAACTTTTAGCATAAAAATAGCATAATTCTGCGAATTTTTCAGCAATGCGAAAAGCATAATTTCACGAAAATATTAGCATAATCTGTCAAGGCCTAATGCTGTAAAAAGTGTGTTTTTGAACTTTACTTCCGGTTTTGCCTTTCGTTGACCCATAAATGGAAGAGTGCGTATTCATTTCTCGGCTTGGGTTCATACATGTATCTGAACATGTTGCATGGCTATGCTTCACTGAAAAAAGAGCACTTTCTTAGCATATTTTAAGGGACGCGAATTAAAGCGAAAAGTAGGCCTTGACGGATTATGCTAGCATAATTTTTCGCATAATTCCTACCAAAATCGAATAATCGCATAATTCGAGGCAAATTGCATACGAATCGCATAAAATTGTAATAATCCGCCTGTTCGCATCAAATTCCATACAGTTGTACATGTTCTACAAGTACAAGTACAAGTAGATGCACCAGGAAGTTGTAGGTTTACGACTCCCTTGATAAACATGTCCAGTCCATTACAATCAGTGATGGTCGTAGCTAGGTCGGACGGTGCGTTGACCCCGTTGAACTTTTGCTACTACAGTACAACTGTAGTGTGCGTGAGCGAAGGCCGCGCAGGACGAATCCAGAAGTTGACAACAAGTTTCTATCACCGCTGCCACCAATGTAGTGTGCGTGAGCGAAGGCAAGGAGGCAACTACCCACAGTCAGTCAACGAACGTTTCAGAACTTACTCCGGCACGGCCTGGAGGTTATCTTATATCAAATATTTTTAAGTGAACTTGCTCTCAATCAACCACGACTGTTACGTATGAGATACAAACTCAGAACTTATACAGAATCTAACAAGGCCGTTGGCAAGGGGGCCAGCTAGGAAGCTTTAGCTGGTGTCTATTGCGGGAAACAAGCAGCAGGCAGCAAAACAGCTACAGAGAGTATGTGATAGTGTAGCAAGCAATCTGGAAATGCCATTGATTAATCGCAGCACGCCTCAGTGCTACAAAGGAAGAATTGGAGCATGAAACTGATATCTCAGTGAAGATAAGTCCATACAACTGCACAACAGTGCTGCCAACCGCCCGTATTTGTCCGTATTTTTACGGAAAAAAGAAGTTTTGTCCGCAGTACGGATTTCAATCGGATATCCCGCAAACGATCATGTATATGATCAATTGCTAAAACCTTCGTAACTCCATCGTTTCTTGTGCCAATTCAACAATCGAAGGATCTACGTGGCAGCCAAAACTCCAAGCTGTCCAATGCAACACTCACGGAAGCGTTACGATCATCGGATTCCAGAAATATAGACCAAAGTTATGACCTGGTGAAGTTGAAAATTGTACTGAATTCGTAGGCTTCGCAAGTGAACTCTGTGGCTGGAAAAGTTGTACAGTATCGTTTTTTCTTCCAAATTACACTAAATCAGTCAAATTGTTGACCTGAAAAACGAGTACGGAAAACTCTGAAAAATTCTGCAAAATGGCACTGGGCAGTACGCATGGGGGTAGAGGGCACTTGGTAACACTGGCACAAGGACCTCTTGCAAATGAAGCATAGCGGCACAAGTATTGTATTTTGGAAACAATGAAGACTACTGATAATTAGTGTTGGTCTAGCTACTCTCCAGTGTGTAGTGGCGCCATGCAAGGATCATGGAAGAACAATCGTAAATGTAGGAAGTACTGTATGCTTCTAAACAATAAGAGTCATGCAAAATACATGTACATGTACTACTCAATCTGCGGACAGCATGCCGTTTCGTTCTTTTTGAACTCATCAGCGCAGCACAGAGGAAATGAGGCCGAACCTGATAGCAATGGAAATAAAGATTTCCAATCAGTACATGTACTACTATGGTTGATAAATATGGTGGTAAAGACACACCTGGCAATATGGCGGTAAACACACGCCTGCCCACACACGCTCTCTAGGCTGCAAAGTTCTGGCACAGAGCTCTCCTTCTCACCACCACCACCATCAGTTCGCGCCTGGCGCCTGGTCGATGCATGGCTGGCGGTATCCGGCATAGCAGGCTGGTACATCAAGTAGCGCATGGCACATACATGTAGATGATGACACAGCAACCACATAGCTCGATTGCGACGTACGTTTCGTCCCCGCTGGACTCATCAGGCAATCTTCTTCTTGGATGTCTTCATACGGAGCTTGACTCATATTGCCAGGTGTGTCTTTACCACCATATTATCAGCCATAAGTACAGCTGCAGCGGTGTCTTCAATTTCATTCTCCCGAGTCAAGCTCCGTATGAAGACATCCAAGAAGAAGATTGCCTGATGAGTCCAGCGGGGACGAAACGTACGTCGCAATCGAGCTATGTGGTTGCTGTGTCATCATCTACATGTACATGTATGTGCCATGCGCTACTTGATGTACCAGCCTGCTATGCCGGATACCGCCAGCCATGCATCGACCAGGCGCCAGGCGCGAACTGATGGTGGTGGTGGTGAGAAGGAGAGCTCTGTGCCAGAACTTTGCAGCCTAGAGAGCGTGTGTGGGCAGGCGTGTGTTTACCGCCATATTGCCAGGTGTGTCTTTACCACCATATTATCAACCATAAGTACAGCTGCAGCGGTGTCTTCAATTTCATGTACTGTAGTCATGAGTAAACTGTAAAGCAGGGATACTACACAACGCCCTCTACAAAAAATTTCCCTGTTATTTTGCACAGAACCATTATGCATTAGCAGCATACATGTATGTGAGCATAATGCGGCATAATATGATACATGTAACTTTTAGCATAAAAATAGCATAATTCTGCAATTTTTTCAGCAATGCGAAAAGCATAATTTCACGAAAATATTAGCATAATCCGTCAAGGCCTAGCGAAAAGCACTAAGTGCGAATTAAAAGAGCACCTTTGGGAAAGGGCTAGTAGAGAGTAGCATCAGGCAGAATGAAAGCCTTGGAAGTGCATAAATACAGCCACGACCGCCACAAAAATTGGACGACCGCCACAACAAATTCTCATTGCTCTACCTCCTTGAAGGGTGAAAGTTACCAGGTATCCTATAGTGATGTCATTTTATGCCTGTTGGAACCCCCCATAGCCCGCACGAAATACCTTTCAAATAATTCCAGGATGCAATTGCAGCTCCAGACAGGAGGAAGAAGAACACTGACGGTCCGTGAAAAATAACGGCAACGATGCCCAAACTCTCGGGAAACGGCTGAAGTCTTCCTGAAGATGTTAACATTGAATAGCCATCGATTACCAGCGTGGTTTGGTGACTTTAGAACTGTTTTGAGACTTAGAACGAAGCGATATCTCAAATTTGATGGAATTGTTACCCGTCAAATGCGTCGGCGATCAGGCCAGCTGAGCTGACTGGTTATGCATGAGCATGCATTGATTTTTCATGGTTCACGTGCAGAAAACTAAGTAAGGCCACACTGAAGAAGGTCTGTGGTTCGACTCACCCGACCGACCGTACATTTTTCAGCCCGACCGTAACTTTTTTTCGGCGGGCTGTCGTGTGACTGACGTAGATCTACGTGGACTGAACACGTCCACGTCTACGTGCTGTGCAGCGTCAGTCTGCGGACGCAGGCTAGGCGGCTCCTTTTGGACTTGACTTGTAGTTGTACTGCAGTGCAGTGCAGTGAGTGGTACGACTGCTGCCTTGTGCTGGTAGTAGAGTCTACTCGATACGACCACCGGCAGACTGGTGAGACTTATTTTGAAGTGACCGTCCGGTTGAGAGTGATTGCCTCGTTCCAGATTAAGGACGGCCTTCTGTTTTGGGATGAAGGACAGACGAGATTGCACTTTCCTCGTGTATTGGGAACGATATTTCACCTGTACCGGTTGCTGCTCCATGTGTGCAAGCACAGGAAGCGTCGATGGAAAAAGCCCATGTATTCGTGCACGCCGACACCAAACTAGCAATACATGTACCGGTACATTGTACAATTTGTACTTCGAAGTAGTTCCCGAACTTACTTTCAACTCGCATCGTTCTTCATTTGCTTGATGATTTGGACAGTCAGAGTCACCGCTTGAAGTTATTCTCTTCTCGTTCCAGAGCTACACAATGTTTCAAAGTATTAGCCAGTGATCCCTTTATACAACATGTATGGCATAACATTGCGTAATAATGCCGATGTACTGGGTGTCTAAAGGCAGTACAGTGTATTTACATGTACTAAAAATACTCAATCTGCGGACAGAACTGTTTCGTCCTTTGTAGACTCGTCAGCGCAGCACAGAGGAAATGAGGCCGAACCTGATAGCAATGGAAATAAAAATTTCCAATCAGGCCCGAACGTACCTTGCCAGAGTGCTCAAACTGACAAGTCAGTGAGCTCTGCATAATGCAAACAGCAAAGGCACTACCCCACGCAAGAGTGCTCAACTGCTACAAGAGCAGGAGCGAAATACTCAATCTGCGGACAGAACTGTTTCGTCCTTTGTAGACTCGTCAGCGCAGCACAGAGGAAATGAGGCCGAACCTGATAGCAATGGAAATAAAAATTTCCAATCAGGCCCGAACGTACCTTGCCAGAGTGCTCAAACTGACAAGTCAGTGAGCTCTGCATAATGCAAACAGCAAAGGCACTACCCCACGCAAGAGTGCTCAACTGCTACAAGAGCAGGAGCGAAATACTCAATCTGCGGACAGAACTGTTTCGTCCTTTGTAGACTCGTCAGCGCAGCACAGAGGAAATGAGGCCGAACCTGATAGCAATGGAAATAAAAATTTCCAATCAGGCCCGAACGTACCTTGCCAGAGTGCTCAAACTAAAAATATAATTATATTAAAAAAAAAAAATCCGCCCGCCCGCCCGTAAAAAAAATGTCCATGTTAGTCGAACCACACACCTTCTTTAGTTTGGCCTAATAAAATTAATAAAATTGCCGGGATCCAAGTGCAGCTAACAGCCGTGAGTACGGAGGATTTTTAGCAAGACGAGTTCGCGTTCGCTCTCCAATACCTACAGTCCATTCAGAAAAAAATGAACTTCTAGCTTTTGGCCATAAATGGGTCAAACGTTGAGTTTTTTTAGAATTTTTTTCTGCAATCCCATATGGAATCCTCTTCCAATTATGTTTCTGAAGTTTTTTTGTCCAAAAAGCAAGCCATAGCAAGAATAGGATTTCGGCCAGGTTTTGCCCCAAAAGCACTGAATTGGGAAAACCATCAAAATCCAGGCCGTTTGACCCCGCCTGCAACAGTGCATTCTGCGGTTCGAACCCCAGTTCAGGCACCCTTTTTGGACCCTTTTTCAAATTTCAAAGTTCGCAGCACTGCACTGTGTACGATGAAATCACGAAAAATCGCCAAATACGGGAGCTCGCCAGAGCCAGGACCCATCTTTTTATGAATGGACTGTAGTACAAGGGAAGTCGAACTCAGTGACGGTCATGAGAAGGCAAGCACGCACATGCATGACGTTGACACAACGTACTGCCACTGTTGTGGACAGGGAGTAGTACAATACGTATTGACTATTGTACTACTCCCTGGTTGTGGACATGGAAATCCGGTCGCACGTACGGTCTAGCGGCCCCAGGCCAGGGTGCTGGCCATGCAGCCGTAGATAAGCGGCACACACATGCAAATTTTTGTGCGCCGCAGCGCGCTGGTCGCATCGGATCAACATGGGCACTGCACTGCACGCAGCGTTCTGTACGCGCTGAGGGCGCTGTCCCCGGTCAACCGACTGGATTTCCCATGTCCGCTACAGCACATCATAGTATTCATACAGACAGTACAGCGTGGTAAATTTATGACTGCCCTGACACGAATCTGGGATTCGTGTTCCGACCACTTTTCCGAACGAAAAATGCGAAAGTTCGCGCGAACTGAAAAGTTTGCGAACGTCTTGCTCCGTATTGATTTTTTGTAGAGTCGCACCCTGCAGAACGTACGTGGTCGTGGAGCCTAAGAACGTCCAGCCTGAAAGTGAAAGAACGCCACAGCCTATTTAACTGCTAAAGCTAAGAACGGCGGTGTTGGTTTTCTGGCAGTTTGTGGGATGCGTATCATCCAGTACCGATTGTTTCTAAGAACGCAGCCAGATTGCTGAAAAATAAGAACGTCCCAGTCTAAACCTTTGCCTTGGAAACAGTGTTCTTGGGCGCGCGACTCTACTGTAGTATTATTATTCGGTCATGTAATTAGATTGTTGCTGTATCTTCTGCCACTAGCCACTAGGTACCTATAGCTATGCCTACATAATTGTACGTCGTGTACATGTGGCCAGGCAGTCACTAGCTCTGTTTAGCTGAGCTCGTCATTGTGTCCCGGTATCACGACCAGGCACTGAGTGGAGATCGTAGGCGCTCGGCGGAGGTCTGGAACGGGCGCTCGCTAAGGCGTATGCGCTAGGAAGAAGTGAGGCACTGGTAAGTACGAGTACAATACCAACTGTTACACAGCCGCCATCATCCTTCAATGCTTGTACCAAAGCCTAGGTTTTGCACACTGTACTCCTGTAGGGATGTTCACCCTAGCGAAACTTCAAAACGCACACAAAAGGCGTAAATCTGTAGAGTTATATCATTAAAATAATTATACTGTAAAGCGTGAAATTTTCGCGGCGTTTTTAGTTCGCGTTTTCAGAGTCCGGACAGGTTTGCGAGGTTTTAATTTTGTGATTGCAGAATGGCATTCTTGCTGAACCTGTGGCATTCTTGCTAAACCTTTCATGCATCTCCTTTTCGCGCTGTCTAAATTTCGCGATTTCCACGTGGTCGCGAATTTCGCAGAAATTAGACCATGGCAATAATTTCACGGTTCACAGTAAGTAATAGCTATCTTGATAACAAAGAAAAACTCCAAAAAGAGATACCGAAACTTGAGACAAACTACATTGCATGGGAGCCGATGCAAGGTTCTACTGGTCTAAAATGAGTGAACCTCCTGGACAGATAATGTATTGGCCAGTAAGGAAAAGGTACATGTGTGCAGTAATGCATACAGCGACGGTGTATACGTAAACCTGTGTTTACTGGACCCTGTACCAAGCGGAATCCGGTATTGATCGGGCGAATTTCCATGCACCAAAGTGCTGTGGATCGAACGTGCATCCCTGGATCAAGCGGAATCGTGTCATATCAGGACAGTTTCCGCTGCACCAAGCGCGTCATGTACTTGTATTGGCCATACCGTAAACGCCTGTAATAAAGCCCTGGACGGAAACGTTAGTGAAGGTCCAGAACATGGGCGTCAATTTGGGCCTGGGCGCAAATGTGGGCCTGGGCGTTATTTCGGATTTAGTGAAATCAGACTGATTTTCGCATCATGCCGTACTACTGTATGTACAGATCAGGTTTAGTACAGTGCATTGTACACTAGCATCTGACAGAGATGCCTGGCAGTCACACTGTGCATCTACTGCTTACACAGCTGCATAATGCCGTTTATTATTATTATATTTTATTGATATTTTAATAATAGCTATGAAAAGTATGAATGCCGCAGACATCACCACGCAACATGACAATTTGTTCAAGGTTTGGTTTTGTGTGTTTCCAAAATCGATTTTCAAGCTCCGATCATCAGTGGAAATACGGAACTAAAGTGATCAAGGGAAAAACAAAGGTTAAAAATCCAAAGAAGTGTGACACATTTTTTTAATTTGTTCTACTAGAGCCACGTTAACCCGTCACGTGTGAGCCATGAATAAGGGGAGTGGTGGCGTGGTCTGGGATGCTCTGCCGACCTTGGGTCTCGGCTTCACCACAACCAGGCGCATGTCGGGTAACTTGTGGTACGTATTACAAAAAGTGAGAACTAAGATAAAGAGTAAGTGTGACAAATGGGCATGAACAGTGCAGAAACAACTCATGAACATGGGGTGCAAACTCACGAAAATAACCTAAGTGCTAAAACACTCAATCTGCGGACAGAACTGTTTCGTCCTTTGTGGACTCGTCAGCGCAGCACAGAGAAAATGAGGCCAAACCTGATAGCAATGGAAATAAAAATTTCCAATCAGGCCCAAACGTACCTTGCCAGAGTGCTCAAACTGACAAGTCAGTGAGCTCTGCATAACGCAAACAGCAAAGGCACTACCCCACGCAAGAGTGCTCAACTGCTACAGGAGCAGGAGCGAAATACTCAATCTGCGGACAGAACTGTTTCGTCCTTTGTGGACTCGTCAGCGCAGCACAGAGAAAATGAGGCCAAACCTGATAGCAATGGAAATAAAAATTTCCAATCAGGCCCGAACGTACCTTGCCAGAGTGCTCAAACTGACAAGTCAGTGAGCTCTGCATAACGCAAACAGCAAAGGCACTACCCCACGCAAGAGTGCTCAACTGCTACAGGAGCAGGAGCGAAATACTCAATCTGCGGACAGAACTGTTTCGTCCTTTGTGGACTCGTCAGCGCAGCACAGAGAAAATGAGGCCGAACCTGATAGCAATGGAAATAAAAGTGCTAAAACATGTTCTTTTTGCTTACACAAATCGGGCTTATGCGTACGAATACAAACAGCTTCAAGGACCTTCAACTGCTGGACATAACGGGCAAGACACAGTACAGAGAAGTGGGAATCATCATACACACTCAAACAATCGGGACGAGATAACAAATGCAAGTACACAGCTGACTTCTTACGAATTTCACCCTCATCAGCTCCATCACCTTCCCTGCCACCTGACTCCTCCTCGTCCGTTTTATCACCATCACCACCAGCCGTCTCATCATCATCCGCCTCGCCGTCATCCGCCGCCTCGTCATCACCCGCCTCGTCGTCATCTGTATCCTCGCCGTCATCCGCCGCATCATCACCCAACTCATATTCACCACCAGTCAGTCGTGTGATACCATCCATGTTCTCCTTCCTACGTCTGTCCCGTGCCACTGTCCTTACCTCATCTACGTCCCGAGATTGTGTTCCGTTTTGCTTCTGGCTTCTGGTCTCCTTCGATGCTCCGCGTGGGCCTTGGCCATTCCTAGCTTATATTTCGGTTGAATAATTGGCGGTCGACCTCCGTGGTCTCTGGACCCACGGATCAAGCGCCGGAGGGTGCTGCGGTGTCCACACAGCCGGATACTGTGTCAAAGAAATACTTCTCTGTACTGTGTCGTGCCCGTTATGTCCAGCAGTTGAAGGTCCTTGAAGCTGTTTGTATTCGTACGCATAAGCCCGATTTGTGTAAGCAAAAAGAACATGTTTTAGCACTTAGGTTATTTTCGTGAGTTTGCACCCCGTGTTCATGAGTTGTTTCTGCACTGTTCATGCCCATTTGTCACACTTACTCTTTATCTTAGTTCTCACTTTTTGTAATACGTACCACAAGTTACCCGTCATGTGTCACACTTCTTTGGATTTTTAACCTTTGTTTTTCCCTTGATCACTTTAGTTCCGTATTTCCACTGATGATCGGAGCTTGAAAATCGATTTTGGAAACACACAAACCAAACCTTGAACAAATTGTCATGTTGCGTGGTGATGTCTGCGGCATTCGTACTTTTCATAGCTATTATTAAAGGGGAAGTATACCCTAAAATCAAATTTTCACCAGTTGTAGTCTTCTGGGTGCTGAGTCGAATGGTCTTGGTCCGAGGAAGCTGCGACGCTCCCTTCCTACTTGAATCCCAATCGAACTCGCGCACTTCCACCGAAACTGGGTGACTGCGCCCTACTAGATGGGGATTTGTATGCAAAATGTCACTAAAAGCGCCATTTCGTTCGTATAAAAGCACGGATGACCGCGATTGGCCCATATGTTGTAGTCTTTTGGACGCTGAGTCGACTGGTTTTGGTCCGAAAAGGCTGCGATGCAGCGTTCCTCCTTTATTCCCAATCGAACATGGTTGAAGAAGCGGTCACGTGCTCCTGGGTGCCCAAATCACCTGGTCACCGCGCCAGCAGGCGACAACTTTCACACCAAGGTTCAACTCGAGTTCAACTCGAGTGACAGGACTGCACCCAAAAAAGGTCAAACAGGCTAGTAAGTTGTACCCTGCAGGCACGGTGACCAGGTGACTGGTGTACGCAGGAGCACGTGACCGCTTGTTCAACCATGTTCGATTGGGAATAAAGGAGGAACGCTGCATCGCAGCCTTTTCGGACCAAAACCAGTCGACGCAGCGTCCAAAAGACTACAACATATGGGCCAATCGCGGTCATCCGTGCTTTTATAAGAACGAAATGGCGCTTTTAGTGACATTTTGCATACAAATCCCCATCTAGTAGGGCGCAGTCACCCAGTTTCGGTGGAAGTGCGCGAGTTCGATTGGGATTCAAGTAGGAAGGGAGCGTCTCAGCTTCCTCGGACCAAGACCATTCGACTCAGCACCCCGAAGACTACAACTGGTGAAAATTTGATTTTAGGGTATACTTCCCCTTTAAACTTTTATCTCCACGTAGATTATTTGTATATTGATATTTTACTATTATTATTTTTTTCGGCAACGCAGATGATGATGATGATTGTACACTAAGTTGTACTACAGTACCGTACATACACATGGAGCTGTGCATGCACTGCACTGTGTAATGTACACTACCGGTGTACAGCCGTCCCTCTCTAATCCGGGGGATATCCGGCACTTGTTTATCCAGCACCCTTACAAACCAGCACACTTTCTGGCAAAACGGATTTTTTCAGTTAATTTTCTACGCTTTAATCCGGCACTTGAATTCCGCCTCCAGCAGCGATTTTCTGCAACAAATCACTCAACGGAACTGGTTCGGATGTGATGTGCAGCGCTATGGGAATGGGTGTGTCCACCCGAATTCTTTTCACAAATCACTCAAACTGTACATAATCTCTAATGCCACAAAGTACTTGGATTGACACAGAAAATCCCTACGTTTTGACGTACGACACAAACATGTATGTTAACAGGTGGGCTAGGTTGGAGGGCAGGATTTGATAATCCAGCACCCTTGTTTATCCAGCAGAAGATGCCGTTGCAAAAGGTGCCGGATTAGAGAGGGACGACTGTACATGAACAAAAAATAACTACAGTACTGTACATACATGTACACATGGAGCTGTGCATGCACTGCACTGTGTAATGGACCTGTGCTTTCACCCATGGGCGTTTACACGGAGCTGGGCTAGAAAACGGGACAAGAGTGTTGACACTGGGCACCTGGGTGTGTACACAGGTAGCTGGCGTTAGTACGGGCTTTTACCGCATATACAGATAGTGCAGATACAGTACGGTATAATTGTACATGTATAGGGAAAGACGAGAATTCTTGATGATAAAAAATGATTGTATGCGACATGCAGCCCTAACCAGAAACCAATGGTGTACACAATCACTATGCAATTCGTGGAAAGGTCCATAAAAATCAGTCACCGTTACACCGGGCGTTATCGGAAAACCCATGTAAGTGAAAAGTTATCGGAAAACCTATGTAAGTGAAAACGGGAAAATTGCAGGTGGGTGAAGTCACTACACGCTGTCTAGAATCTTGTTTTGTTTGATGTTATTCCCGCAAGGGTCCTAGAGGGTGTGAAGGTGGTGGCGTTGCTACGGACGCGGAAAACTTGGCCTTCAGCCGAGTCTCATGCGAACTGTCAAATTTATTTATTTATTTATAAATTTTATATTACAGCAAGGAAACGATGAGCAGAGCGGCAGCACTTCAGGACACGGATTTTTAAAGAGCCGCATGATTGGAGTAGGCAGCTGCCTGTTATGTGCAGAAAGGCCGTCGGTGGCCTCTTCAGCCGATGAGCGTACGCAGTAGTGCTGTTTTTGTTTTTTGTTTTTATACGAAAGTCCACTATATTCCCGAATATATGCGAGAAATGGTGGCGTGTAGTCTGATGAAAAAAGCGTTTGTTTTCCTATGAACAGTGTCAAGAGTGTAATAGAAGAAAACACACGGGAACGAGTTATGAAGCAGCTATCCACGACTGTAACAAGATACAACGTATTTTTATGAGCAGTCAGAAAGTATCAAAATGCGCACTCATGCCTATGAGTATGATGCACTCTGCCTATGAGTATGATGCACACATGAAAGCGAGGTCAGTTTAGTGTTTCTTTAATACGTATGCATGAGAAACACACAAGACCATCTCTGTGTGTCCTGTGTGTCCTGTGTGTCCTGTGTGTCCTGTGTGTCCGGTGTGTCCTGTGTGTCAAAGTGAGCAAAGTCAGTGAGCTAGTGAATTTCCATTTTTAAATTGGCTCAAAGGTGCTACATCCCATAAAATTCATAAAACTTGTAATAGAACCAGAATGAATTGCGTTGAGTGCACTACCCAGCCTGCATCTATATCGCCATGTTCCAGTGTACAGCGATGTATGTATGCATAGCCATGTGAATGTTCCAGTGTACTACCGTTTGTATGCATGGCTGCGTTGGTTGGACGCGAGCGTTCGAATCGATACCGTGCCAGTAAGGCCCAGAAATTCCAATGTGCTTTCATCAATAGTTGTGTGTTCTCTGTGTTTGTTCCATGCAGCGCGCACCTCCGAAGACTGTACTGACAGGAACGACGTATAGACTCCACGTTCAAAAGCAATGGATCCTAAGGATAAAGACGGCCCCCCACTCTACGGCTATGATGTCCAAACTGTTGACCTATTTCCTGAAAAATTTCTGTGCCCGGTTTGCTTGCTCCTGCTGAGGGATCCAGTGCAGACTGGCTGTGGTCATCGTTTCTGCAGATACTGCAGCAAACGCGTCATGTAAGAATTTTTCCACATAATTTTGTAGCATTGTGATTCCAGCTAGGCCTTTAATAATATAATTCATAAGTATTTATTTTTGTTGCAGTACTTTGATACAAGTTTGCTCCTCAAGCAAAATCGGTCGTTAAAGCCAGATGGTCTTTGGAACCAGGTCCCATACATTCGTGACATATCGGATTGTGTACATACATGTGCATGATTGTACTTCCATGTTCTCATATTGACATGTGTGAAGCACAAGAATACTCCCGTGCAGGCAAAGCACACCTCACTCAAGGGCATGCAGTGCATCCTGTACTGTCCCTTGTCACTTCTGTTGACTGCATGCACATGAATCAGAGCGCACTTCAACCCTGTTGCTGTCAAACCTGACAGCCAAGATGGCACTTTTGGTTGGTTTTGTTCGCTGTGTGCACGTCCATTATGGCATTTGGTACACTAAAAGTCGGTCACTGGTCGCGCAAGGCAGGTGGTCGCTGTATCCAGTGCAGTTTCTGTGTAGAACTGTCCGTGCATGGAGAAACGGTCGTTAAAAGCAGGTGGTCGCTAAACACAGAGGTCGCTTACACTAGGTTTTATTAATGTAGGTGCTTGGGTGTTAGCAACTTTGCACGATTGCCAATTTTCTGCGAGGCATGATCGGCACCTTTTTGGTTTTGTTGCTATAGGCCACTGCTTTGCGGTGTGACCCATTGAATGCGGCATGCCCTCCCCTCATCCTTCTTCGCCCAGACGTATTGCGATATGTGCATGCACTTCTGGCGTTGTCCGCAGCGCAGAGATGATTGGTGGTTACAGTGACGTTGTTTCTTAATGTCGTTGCTGTTAGTCCGGTGCTTTCCTTCTTCTCAGTATCTATGGTGAATCTTGCCTTATACATGATGCGGAGGATGAGTGGAGGGCATGCAACATTCAGGTGGTGCACCGCGCACAGCAATGGCCTACAACAACGAAACCAAAAGGTGCAATCCATGCCTCACAGAAAAATTGGCAATCACACAAACACCTAAGCACCTGTCTCTCAAAACAAGAGGAGCTAACTTGTCTCAAAATGCCACTGAATATTTAATAAAACCTTCGCAACTTCGAACTTTGAACAGGCATCACCTGATCAAGTGGCAGACAATCAGCTACTAGAAAATATGCTTAGGCCCAAACAAAAAAATAGGCTTGTTTCCGGTCGGCAACCCCTCAAAAAGGAGACTCGGTCGGCCGGAATGAAACTTTTTTGGATACTTTTTTTTGGCTCCTCCATCGTTGTGGTATTGATGGACAAGAGCACCTACACATGTACATTGTACATCTATCATGGCAAGGATCAATATCAAAGTTGACTGACTCACTGTTCTTGTACAGCATGTGGTGTATTCCTGTTTTCGTACATCCTGAGAAATCAAGAAAACAGTTCGAGTCCTTCCAGCTCCGTTATTCTAGCTCGTATCGATCCCGGAGGTTTTCGAGCCGACAGCTGAGATTATCTGCTACTTTGTAGGTGTTTCGATTGTGGAATTCGGTTGAGATTTGACTGAGTTATGACTCGTTGAGTGCACTTGCACGCTTGGCATTGCCACCGTTTGTATGCATTTGGGACCAAAAAAGTTTCAGAATTAATTATTTGGGAAAAAGTGGCCCGGTCGGCCGACCGGAAACAAGGTCATTATTTGTTTTGGCCTTATCACTTTTATTTTTATTCACGCAATGATGTAATGGACTGCTGTGATTCGCACCTTTACTTTGTGGGTAGATAAACCAGCATTCAGATTTTTCTCGTTATTGTCTGGTGATTGCCGCGACGCCTCGTGTGTGAAATTCGGAGTTACATGGACATCTTCATCCTCTTCATCTTGTTGGAAATAGCTCTGCCCTTGGGTTTCGAGCACTCTTCTAGAACCTTTCTGTTTCAAAGTGGACATTAGAACAGAGATATTGCGGCTTCGTCGGCGTTGATGCAGAAACTATTGAGCTGGGAGCGGTGATTTCTTGTAGGTTTCCAGGTGTGAAGTTCAATGTGCTCCCTGTGTGGTGCGGATGTAATGGGAGCCGTTGGCCATTTGAGTGTAGGTGAAATCAGCACGAGACGTGAGTTCCACATTGGGAGCAGCCAACTTTTCTTTCTTAATCCGTCTTGTGCTGTTGTTTCACTGCTGTAGTGATAGTGGAAACGAAATATGCCCTGTGGACCATGAGCCTGTGACATGTGTGAGTTGAATTTCTGAAATGTGCTCTCTGAGGTTCCCATCATTATTCTGGTGTATTTGTAGCAAATCCGGTATGCACTGCATCTTGGTTATACCGAATTTCCAACACCTGCGCAATTGTGTACTGGACGCAACCTGTTATGTCTTGCATCACGTCATGCGCAATCATGTTCTACATACACTGTATTTTGTACTCGTAACATTATGACTCTATGATGTGTAGTCTTTCCCCTCGCATGTGCATGCTCGTGAAATGATCATGGTCTCTTTCCTCGTGTAATGTCGGAGCGTGTGTCACTGAATGTCTGTCCGATGACACAACCCGATTGCATGGAGAAATCACCCCGAGCCAGAATACGTTGTCACAAAATCACGAAAACACAGCCAATCTATGCTTTCTGTGAAGTTGGTTGTGGTGTAGTACGTCTGTAGCCTCAACAAACTAGCATGGCGATGCACTTGCACAACAAGCAGGGTGCATGCTACCGGCTGTAGGGAGCAGAACTTTGCTTCTACGGCTCAAGGACGCCACATTCATTGGATTTGGGAAGAGAACTCGTGCTGGGTGGCCAGGAACTATTAGGATTATAAATTATTATTATTATAATACCGTAAAAGCCCGCATTAACGCCTGCCCAGTACAACGCCCGCTGCCCGTGTACACGCCCAGGTGCCGGTGTAAACAATTGTGTCCCATTTTCTAACCCACCTCCATGTGAACGCCCATGGGAGAAATCACGGGCCCAGTACACAGTGCACTGCACTGCACTGTGTACTTGCATGTACAGTACAATAATAGGTAGTATAGAGTACAGTACACTGTGCTAACTCTATACGTAGGGTGGCATGTTGGTGTGAAAATCAGTCTGATCTTGCTTTTCCGTAACAACGCCCGGGCCCAAATTGATGCCCATGTTCTGGACTTCACTAACGGGCCGTATTATGGTCTTTTACGGTATGGCACTTTGTTGCTCAATTTCTGTACAAGTGCTTATGGAGTCCAATGAAAGAAGGCTACTTTGATCCCCCCCCCCCCCCCCTCCCACTCTGATTGCGTGCCACCCTACTCATTTTTTGAGATCTTTGCATTTTTCAGTTCACACAAAAAAATGTGGCCACGAATCGATCGTTCCGGTTGCTCACTGCGCCCGTACATTTCGTTTGACAAGGCGATGGTGGACCATGGAAAAATCGGTGAACTCGGTTTGTTTCCCTATGTCCCCCACCCCATTACAATATTTTCCTTTATTAGAACCCTGATGTGATATTGTCTCACTGATATGGCTTGAAGATATGAAAACCCAACATGGCGCTGTGAATCATTTGCATCCCGTTGTCCATCTGCCCAGCGTGAAGCTCAACTGCAGGCTTTGATTCAGTCCCTGTCCTGCTTGCAGAGTAGATCGGTATCGAAACCCAACAACTAACCATGCTTCAACACACACATCCAGAAATGCGTGAAAAGACCACGTGTCAACACGACTGGCTTTCTGCGCAGCATGAGATGGGGTCACTACAGTCCATTCACTATAAGTGTGCACTGTTATTACATGCTCCCATCATACGACTATGTACAAATACGTACAAATACAAGGCAATTTTTTTCTAAGTGAATGCACGCTTGCTTGCGGCTCCTTTAAAAAAAAAACCGGATCAAAATCTGTCCAATTTTGAGAGAGAAAATGGAAAATTGATTTTTTTAGCTCGCTTTGCTGGCTGATTTCCGTGCATTTGCATGCGCCGCTGCTTTGTCTTTGAAGAAGCCATGCACCTTATTGATCATCTCAACGCATCCACGTGGGGTATTCCCCTGTCAGGCTGGCGCTGGCCTACGTGTAGAATCCATGGGGCATACACAATGGCCCTTTGACTGGATGGAAAAGAGTGGACATTTATACTTATGGGCCCTTTGACTGGAAAAGAGTGCACACTTATAGTGAATGGACTGTAAGCATGTTACTCATTGTTGGAAGACGTTCCATAAACAATTGTATACCAATGTGTGGTAGTGTGTACTTTTGCAGTGTACTTGCATGTTGCTATTTGTTTACTGTCCTCGACATGGAACACCGGTCCGAGGTCAAGCGGCCCCCGGGGCCAGGGCGCTGGCTATGCAGCCGTGAGTACGCATACGATCAACATGTGTGTGTGTGAGCACTGCATGCAGCGACTTTACGTCCTGTACGCACTGAGGGCGCCGGACCCGGTCATTCAACGGGATTTTCATTGTCCACAGCAGTATTTTCATTGGCGTTTCTGTATGCATGTGTACTGTACATGTGTGTGTGTGTGTGTGTGTGTGTGTGTGTGTGTGTGTGTGTGTGTGTGTGTGTGTGTGTGTGTGTGTGTGTGTGTGTGTGTGTGTGTGTGTGTGTGTGTGTGTGTGTGTGTGTGTGTGTGTGTGTGTGTGTGTGTGTGTGTGTGTGTGTGTGTGTGTGTGTGTGTGTGTGTGTGTGTGTGTGTGTGTGTGTGTGTGTGTGTGTGTGTGTGTGTGTGTGTGTGTGTGTGTGTGTGTGTGTGTGTGTGTGTGTGTGTGTGTGTGTGTGTGTGTGTGTGTGTGTGTGTGTGTGTGTGTGTGTGTGTGTGTGTGTGTGTGTGTGTGTGTGTGTGTGTGTGTGTGTGTGTGTGTGTGTGTGTGTGTGTGTGTGTGTGTGTGTGTGTGTGTGTGTGTGTGTGTGTGTGTGTGTGTGTGTGTGTGTGTGTGTGTGTGTGTGTGTGTGTGTGTGTGTGTGTGTGTGTGTGTGTGTGTGTGTGTGTGTGTGTGTGTGTGTGTGTGTGTGTGTGTGTGTGTGTGTGTGTGTGTGTGTGTGTGTGTGTGTGTGTGTGTGTGCACGAGTGCACGTGTGCGTGTCATCTATCTGTGGTCTCCCTCACCTCTCTTACCAACATGCTACCATGCCAAAGGCGTTTGAAGACAATTATGCGAGGCGTGAAGTTGCCAATTTAGAAGTGTACTGCTCCATGAGCACAAAAGGCTGCACGTGGACTGGCAAACTGCGCAACGTAGAGGTGAGTAAGTAGTGCTAACCTGATTTGTACGACTTTAACCGTCATCCGCACCAACACAACTCAACTCTGACCTGTTTATAGCTCACTTTCTGTAACAGGAAACTGTCAGTGAAAGTAGCACGTGCTGCCAACAGGGTACTGTACGAACACTACAGTAGTACGTGCTGCCAACAGGGTACTGTACGAACACTACAGTAGTACGTGCTGCCAACAGGGTACTGTACGAACACTACAGTAGTACGTGCTGCCAACAGGGTACTGTACGAACACTACAGTAGTACGTGCTGCCAACAGGGTACTGTACGAACACTACAGTAGTACGTGCTGCCAACAGGGTACTGTACGAACACTACAGTAGTACGTGCTGCCAACAGGGTACTGTACGAACACTACAGTAGTACGTGCTGCCAACAGGGTACTGTACGAACACTACAGTAGTACGTGCTGCCAACAGGGTACTGTACGAACACTACAGTAGTACGTGCTGCCAACAGGGTACTGTACGAACACTACAGTAGTACGTGCTGCCAACAGGGTACTGTACGAACACTGCAGTAGCACGTGCTGCCAACAATGTACTGTACGAACACTGCAGTAGCACACGGTACACGTGCGTAGTATTGTACAAGCTGGTCCCGGAGGCAATTGAGCTCAAAGCACTCACGCAGTTAGTTTACCAATAGTTATCATAATAATAATAATAATAATGCAATGAATATAACTAAATGCGCACTCATATCACAACCATGGGGACGAATCATGTATTCCAGAACGTTTTCTTGTCACAATTATCAATGGAATTCGTGACTAAAGAGAATGATGAAACTACAATAGGATTTATACACTTGCAGTGGAACAGCGAGGATACAAGCATAGTAAGAAAAATAGCACAAACCTAGGAACAATTTGCACAGGTAATAAACTATAGGTGAGGTGAGAAATGATAGGAAATTCAGCAAGTGCAGTGTGACAATGGACATGCATGTGTAAGTGTGTGTGAGTGCGAATTTACTGGAATAGCGTAAGTGCGGTGACATTTTCTTTTTGTTTACAAAGATTTGGATCACGAATGCGAATGTAGACTGCTTCTAGAACTTTTAACTGCTTGAAACTACTAGCGGAACGAACAACACTGAACCAAGAATCATCATAACTTTCACGACACACGGGGTTAGACAACAAATGCAATTTAATTGCCGATGTATTCTTCTTCTTCTCACCGCCTCCGCCTTCACTTGGTTTCTGACCGCCACCGTCCTTCACACCATCTGCACCATCATCGTCATCATCGTCACCGTCCTCTTCATCATCGCTGCCACCTTCACCTGTCGTCGGCTCTCCCAGCAACTGACCACCGGGTTCATCATCGTCACTGCACACGTCGCTTCCACACTCCTCCTCCAGCTGCCGTCGCGTTCTCTTCCTGACCGGTCTTCCCTTGCCATTGCCAAACGCCTGACAGTCGTCAACTCTTCCGCTGGCATCATCCATATCCGGAGAGTTTCGATGCATCTTTCCAGTCACCTCTGCAAACCGAGCTGCCGCCAGCCGTTTGCTCCTTCTCAGCTTTGGTGAGTTGCGGTTGTCTGCGTCCGGCGTTCCGGTACTCGCTGATAATGAAGATAAGACACAGTGTTCGTCTTTGTTTACATTAATGTTTGTTCCCAATTTCTGCGTGCTGTGTTGGTTTTTCCGAGACACCGTTTGTGGAGCAGAAGCCTCTGCCGGAACGGACAGTGGAGTTGGGTGCTTACGTGGTCGGCCACGCTTTGGTCGGGAGGACCTAGCCGCCTGTGACAATATTGAGAGCGGCACGTGTTGTTTGATACGTTCGGACAGATGTTGAAGGGTCCTACCAACATACCGACTACCACATTGTCGGCATTCAAAGTAGTAAATGAGGTGACTCAATTGTAGGGTTGGTAGGACATCCTTCAACATCGTGAACGAACGGATCGTAGTGAACACGGTAACCACATTGGCTACCCGCAGCAGCTCCTCGACAAACTTCTAACAACTACACCTGTTGTTAAGGAACGAGCTATCGGACCGTTGCCGTGCCGCGCATTTCTTTGCTTGCCCTGGAAAGGGAAAGAATCGAAGGACACGGCCCGTGTGGTGAAATCCCTAGTGGAGAAAACCTACTTTGCCACCAATGTGGTTACCGTGTTCACTACGATCCGTTCGTTCACGATGTTGAAGGATGTCCTACCAACCCTACAATTGAGTCACCTCATTTACTACTTTGAATGCCGACAATGTGGTAGTCGGTATGTTGGTAGGACCCTTCAACATCTGTCCGAACGTATCAAACAACACGTGCCGCTCTCAATATTGTCACAGGCGGCTAGGTCCTCCCGACCAAAGCGTGGCCGACCACGTAAGCACCCAACTCCACTGTCCGTTCCGGCAGAGGCTTCTGCTCCACAAACGGTGTCTCGGAAAAACCAACACAGCACGCAGAAATTGGGAACAAACATTAATGTAAACAAAGACGAACACTGTGTCTTATCTTCATTATCAGCGAGTACCGGAACGCCGGACGCAGACAACCGCAACTCACCAAAGCTGAGAAGGAGCAAACGGCTGGCGGCAGCTCGGTTTGCAGAGGTGACTGGAAAGATGCATCGAAACTCTCCGGATATGGATGATGCCAGCGGAAGAGTTGACGACTGTCAGGCGTTTGGCAATGGCAAGGGAAGACCGGTCAGGAAGAGAACGCGACGGCAGCTGGAGGAGGAGTGTGGAAGCGACGTGTGCAGTGACGATGATGAACCCGGTGGTCAGTTGCTGGGAGAGCCGACGACAGGTGAAGGTGGCAGCGATGATGAAGAGGACGGTGACGATGATGACGATGATGGTGCAGATGGTGTGAAGGACGGTGGCGGTCAGAAACCAAGTGAAGGCGGAGGCGGTGAGAAGAAGAAGAATACATCGGCAATTAAATTGCATTTGTTGTCTAACCCCGTGTGTCGTGAAAGTTATGATGATTCTTGGTTCAGTGTTGTTCGTTCCGCTAGTAGTTTCAAGCAGTTAAAAGTTCTAGAAGCAGTCTACATTCGCATTCGTGATCCAAATCTTTGTAAACAAAAAGAAAATGTCACCGCACTTACGCTATTCCAGTAAATTCGCACTCACACACACTTACACATGCATGTCCATTGTCACACTGCACTTGCTGAATTTCCTATCATTTCTCACCTCACCTATAGTTTATTACCTGTGCAAATTGTTCCTAGGTTTGTGCTATTTTTCTTACTATGCTTGTATCCTCGCTGTTCCACTGCAAGTGTATAAATCCTATTGTAGTTTCATCATTCTCTTTAGTCACGAATTCCATTGATAATTGTGACAAGAAAACGTTCTGGAATACATGATTCGTCCCCATGGTTGTGATATGAGTGCGCATTTAGTTATATTCATTGCATTATTAAGATTATTGTCTCCACGTCGCCTTTTTA